TTTTTTTTGAACATTAAGAATTAAGAGAATAAAAATATTTTTTTAAAAATAGATAAAAATTAAACTCTCAATTAACTAAATTTAAATATTTATAAAATTATTTAATTTTATTTGAATTTCTAATTTTTAAAAAAATCAAAACTAAAAATTTAAAATCAAAACTAGACTAAACAAAACATAAATATTCTAATACCACACACTTTTTTACATATATAAGGAATTAATATACAGGATTCGTGCACATATAAATATTTAAGAGATCTTTTTGTCATTTTCTATGTTATATTTATAGGCGATTCAATAAAATAATAGCAAATTCATGCTCAAACGATAGGAGTCATTAAGTCATAGTAACCGCACATACTGACTTCTCAAAAATTATGTCAAAATTCACAATGTTAATTTTCCTGGATGAAGGCTCGGCATTTATTCGGTTAAACTTTCGTATGGATCAACACAAATTGCACCAATGGTAGATCTTTTGTACAGACAACAAGGAATCAGACTCCACTATCGCATTGCTATAGTTCTTTTACCATGTAAGTTCCATAGCTTTGAGGATGTTGTAGATTTCCGCAGGAATTGCATGACCTGTGCCCAATTACATGTTGAAATCAAACTGCCATGTTTCGCTCCCGACTCCCTATGAATACCGCTTGCTACTGAGAGGCCTTGGGATCTGAGGACCCGTCTACATTTATCATATTATATGTAGTATTTTATAGTCCAATATTACCCCATCTTCTCTGACCAGATATATACTTTTACTTGCATTTCTTTTTAAGGAGAGTTGTGCAGTAAAAAACTGTTAGATGAGAAGTCAGCTTCTTCAAATTGAGAGTTGTTCCTTCATCTAACAATCTCAATTTTACAGCCCAATGAAGTTTAAATTGCAAATTAGGGAGAGCACCTAATTAATTATTTAAATGAAAAAAATATGTTACTAAAAAATTAAAAATAGTCACAGAGATACTAAAGATTTTCAAATTGGAAGTCAAACTCAACTTTCATGTTAAATGAGGTTAAATGAACTCGATTCACTAAGATAAATTAAACATTTTCATGCAATTGGAAACCTATGAAGATCAATCCGAGCCCCAATCTAATTATAAAATTTAGCCAATCTTTGTCCCCAAAATAGCTAAATGTCATCTTCTACGCACTGCAGCATTTGATGCAAGCTGCATTGCTGCAGCTGGCTGTGCTTGTGATGCTGATTGACTAATAGCCTGTTCCTCGGGCATATTCATTGCTTGGGTTATGGCATTCATGACTATGAGTCCAAGAGGGAGCAAATACATCCACAATGAACAAAAGATTCATTTAGTCTCACTCAAGATGGCTTAAACAAAATACAGTAAAGGAAATTGCAACTCTTTCCTGATTTACATATTTGGCCCAGAAAGACCTTTCTGGTGGCTGCACAACTTAACCCTCCCCATTCTCACCACCCAAAACTTCTTCAGTAACGATTGGAGCCCTATAAAACAAAAAAGGCAATGGCAAAAGCAATCCTTTTGCTTTTTAGGTTAAATAAAGCAACTTAAAATGAAAACAAAACTGCAATAGATAATTTGCAAATATGATGTACAGAATGATGATCAGCTTGGACGAAATGTAGATGCATTTGAGTTATTTACTAAAACAAAGTTGCCCATTGAGGAAGGCCTGTATCTGATGCTCTTGAAACAGTAAAAGAAACAGGATAAGATTGCAATTTACAATCTATAACTTACCCTTTAAGCCATGAAATGGCTTCCAATTACATGTCAATCAATAAAATTGAAGATAAAGAAAGAGACAATAATGTTGATAATATTAAAAATTAGAAAAAGAAAAAGCAAGAGCTATAATACTGGATCTGAAAACAAGTGAATAACATAGCTAAGAGAATACCTTGGTGCCTGCTCATTGTTCTTTAAAACTGTGTGACAGTTGAAGGCCCATTTAAACGGTTGTTGGGTAAAGTGAACATAGATTACAATACAACTAGAGATATGGTTGTAAGACTGCTAGAAATCACCTTCTATCTTCATGAAAGTTCAGTTAATATTGCAAAATCAGTACATCAAAATCAATCTTCTGTTTTACAAGGCAAGTATAAAATATGAGAAAACAAAATATTCTGGAAGTCTAGAAGACAGCAGAAGCATCTGAACGCCATGACAGGCTTAAGGAAGTACAGTTGATGAGGTTATAGTCGTTGAATCATATATGAACCCTAATTGAACATACCATGGTGCAAGAAATGCCATTTGAAACTGCAACTTCGAAGTGACCTAAACTTATTCTAGATCCAGTATCTAGGACAAGTGTCAGAGAATAAATTTATATCCCACATAACCCATGGGCCATGAAATTTAAAGTTATCATTAAATCTGAGCTGCAAAGCTGTGATTCTACACATTACACTTTAAAATGAGGACTTCAATTTAGGAAAAGATATTGTAGTAACACAAAGGGAAGCACACATGAAAGTGAAGTAGTAGACAAAACATTAATAATGGCAGTGTAATAGAGGAAAACAACCATGGCTAGGAAGTTCATGCTTTGGCTCATTCAAAGCTGCAAGTGAAAGGACTTTTAAGTGCTCTAGTGAAAATCCAACATATTGCCATCTTCAGGTGAAGACAAAAACTTACGAATTTCAAATAAGTTGAGATTATTGTCCCTAATTTGTCATAAAATGATGGCCACTCTCAAAACTTAGAAGTTCATTTTTAAGATATCTGCTTAAATTAACTGTAGAATAGAACAAATGGCAAGAATGACAACAATAAATTTGAGGAAGAGGTTATAATCTCCGTAGTTTGCTCAACTAACTGAGAAATAAGAAAAAAGTAAGAGATAAATAGTAACTCACAAGTTTCAACTGCTGAGGATAAGGACATGCCCCTGGAGAACCATAATTGACTGCTGCCAAGATATTTACACCTTCCTGCAACAACCATCATATATACTTCCTTAGAAAACATTTTCCAATTTTATATACAAACTGACCATATGATAATCTAAAAAATAAATTAGTAAATAAACACTAGATGCATGTCAAAGCAGTGAAAATTAACTATGAAGTTAGGCAAGTTAGCACCAAAAAAGGGGAACTCATTACCATTGACAAAATGAAATCATAACAAGTCTTCTTAAAAGTGGAACAATAAAGCTTTTCATTTTAAAATATGATAATTAATCCCATTTCAAAGAAGTGTTAGAAAGATTTACACATTACATTACATACCAAAGTTGTAAAAACAAATTTCTTCATAACAGGTTTGACTAAATTAAAACCCACTCCTATTAACACACCTAGGAGGGGGAGGGGTAAAGTTAACTCTAAATTACCATGTGTATGACAAAATGCTTGTCCAAACCCTCCTGTGGAAGACATCTCTGCAGTTAAACAAAAGATGGTGATGAACCATACAAATTCAAAAAGAGACAGCATAATTAAATTTTTTGAATAATTTCGTAATTGAGGGAAGAGCATTATGGAATTACATTTCTTTAATTAATATTTGAAAACTAAAATTTCATATTCAAACCAAAAATCTCTGACTTCCATTGTCAAATTTTTATAGCATCAAAATTTATGGGAAAATTATATAACTTCTTTTAGACAAATGCTAAGAGTACGAGTTCATAGTAAAAGCAACTATGGACAAACAGTGAGACAAAATAAACATTCAAAATTGAGGCATGTTGTGTAGTCAATAGATTTAAGGCAGATTGCAGAGATCCTCATGATGAGCTTGGTTAAAGGCCTTAAATCTGACAGATAACTACACTGTATATAAGTTTCAATCCAAAAGCAAAAAAGTAAATGGCCATTTGACAAACAAGCTTAACAGCTTAACCTATAAGAGGAAAATAATTGACCAGAAAAGATAAAAACATTTTGAATTCATAAAAAACCTATAAGAGGTTAACTTACTGCTTACACTGATGAGATTATATAATCCCTCCCAGGAGGACTTAAAACATTGGATGGGAGCCTTGTCTTGTAAAAGTTATCACCTTAAAGCAAGTTCTGTAGGACAGAGAACAATACAAATCAAAGCAATGTACAATGATTTATGATACACATGAATTGATTCCAGATAACATGCAATTACTTTGAACTTCTCCTTCTCTTCATCAATGAAACCATTTCTTGAAAACTACAGCTTTGTTAGTGTCTGTCACAAAGAAAAATTGCATGTCAAATCCATTATCATACTTGGAATTTTCTAAAAAGAACATCAAGCCAACTGTAATTGACAAAAAAATAAGGATCAATCAGGATCAATCATTCAAATCTCAACAAAAGAATTCAAAAACTTCATTGAGTTGCTAAGATAAAAGGGAAAAAAACAAAAGGGCAAGAGGAAGTGTAAGCTCTTTAGTAAACCCCAATTTGTACCTCAGTTTTTAAACTTTATTTTAGCAATTAAACATATCCCCAAAACAGAAAAACAAAGCGAAAGCAAACAAGAAGCTAAACTAGTAATCAGAAAAGAATTCAGGGATGGATGCGGGTTCAGGGAAGCGAGGTGGAGCGCCCTCGAGACTGAACTACTCGTCGTCTAAGAGGAGCTCATCGGATTCGAATTGGAAAGAGGGGAAGGAGAAGAGCAAGAGAGTGAGGAAGAAAGCCAATATCACTCTCGTCTTCATTTTTCTGGTTTTCTTGTTAGAGGAGGAATCGACGGGTTTTGTGTAGTGAACAGGAGTGATTTTTTTTTTTTTTTTAAAATTTTTGAATGGGTTTACATTTTTGGGATGCCAACCCCAGCCCTTACAACTCGACTTATGGTTGTTGGGTCGCGAGGCCAAGTGTGTATTGAACAAGAGTGATTGATTCCTCCAAACGACGTTTTTTTAATAGTACCTGAACCTTTTAATGGTCCCTATAAATTAAATTAAAGTAAAAAATAGTAGAATTTAAATTATATTAAATTATATAACATCAATTTTGAAATAAAAACTGAACTTTTTAGTGTTTTTTTGTTCATTTAAAAATTTTTATTGTATAATTTAATGTAGCCTATACAATAAAACAAGATTTTCATGAATTAATAAAAAGTCAATTTTGATTATTTTGCCCTCAATTTTTTGAGTTCATATAATTTGGGGTTAAAGTATAAGAGAGCATTTGCAACTTCCAAAGTAGAAGGAAAAACTGATTCTCTAAATCAACATAAGGTTTGATTGGATGCTAAAACTGTTTTATCATTTTTTTAAAAATCAAATAATAAGGTGGTTATACAACCTTTAACCTCTTTCACTTGTCAACCTCAAAATCATCAACTTAAAATTTAGCTTTTTAACTATTTAAGATACCTACTTACAATTAAAAATGGTTGAAATTTAAGAAGACATTAAGAGAATTTTTAAATGGAGATTTGCTCTTAAAATTGTTTCCTTTCTGTTGTTATGAATGACAATTTCATTAATAGTCTAGAAAGTTGGCTTATAGAACCTACAGATAAATGAGTCATAACCTAATATTACAAATTTTAGAAAACATGCATGATTGGTAGCCGTTGATAGAATTATCATCTCAACTCGCTAAGAAGTGTCATCCAACTATAAAAGCAAATTCAAGATAGATTTTGTGATCCCACATTCTCTTTGGCTTGTGGCAACAAAGGGTGGGTTATTGGCACACCCTAAATTGTTAATATCACATATTTTTAATATAACTATCTATTATACCCTTACATTACACTTTATCTCAAAAATTTACACTTTTTTGTTTGTTATTAAATTAAAGACTATAATAGTCAATTAAAATAAAAATGTGTGGTGTTAGTAGTTGAGGGTGTGGCAATAATATCACCCGACAACAAAACCCACATAACAAACAAACTCCAAATAGAAAAATCTAAATCGTCCCCTTATTTATCATAAAACTTTGTTGATGAGGTCTCCTATATTCTCAATTAGCTAAACCTGGACCAAACCCAAACCGAAGGAACCAAACTTATAAAAGTATTAAGGTTTTATTTAGACTATCAACTATATAACCTGGTAGTAGAATTATTTATACTTTTAGCATACGTTTAGAATTTAATCTCTAGTTTTTACATACAAAAATGGAAAAAGGTTTTATTTAGTATGACTATGGTTTTTTATTTTTATTTTAATGTGTTTTTGCAACATATTGTCATAATTATTAAAAAATTAAGAACAAAATAATTTTAATATTATTAAACAAATTTATGTTCTTTGTTATCATTGTTAAAACTCATTTTAAATAAATTATTAGTTTTTTATTTTTATTTTTGGATTTTAGTAATTGCAAAATTTTAAAAAAACTAAAATTAAAAAAAGAAAGAAAGAAAAGACATAACTATATTAGACAAAGCCTTAAGAAAATGACAAAAGCTGTAACCCTTCAAAACTAAACGGGCTGGCCATCCAAAATTTAGCATGCTACTCTCAATCCATCATCCACACCATCAACCACCCGTTTTGTGCCTCGTTGCTTTTTTATCGTGTAGCTAGCATTGCCCTTAGGGTATGTTTGGTTTGAGGGAAATGGAGGAGAGAGATGAGTTTTTTAATCAATCAAATTGTAATGTTTTTAAATATTACAATTTGATTGGTCAAAAAAGTCTATCCCTCCCCTACCCCCTTCTCCACTTCCTTCAAACAAAGTATACTATTAGGGATTATGCATACAAATCTTTAAAATTGAAGCTAATGCCCTTATCTACATCTAATCTGAGGAGGGCACTTGCACCACTCTTGCTCCCATCGTAGTGATCCACATACCAAACTCCCATGGACAACCGACTTAACCCTCCATCCATTGAGCACTAGTAAGCATAGGTTGGCATCAACAATAGCCCTTGCTCCACTCCTTGACACCCCAAGAATTAGAACTTTGTGACATTGCCAAGCAGACCTCCAATGCCCTACACCTACGTTGTCCTACACCAAATCCCTAGAATAAATGAGAAGAGAAGGTCCCATTGGGGAACAACTTTATTCCCAAGGACTAACCATCTTCAATGGTGGACTCACCTTCTTATGATACCCTAAGCCCTAGGCCAAAGAGAGGGTCATGCTTATAAAATTATTCTTTAATTTTGAAATATATGCAAGTTAATGTGAAAACATTATGGCTATTAAAAAAAATTAAACAATTTTCAATTATTTTTAAACTCAATCAAAGATGTAAAAAATACTTTACATAGAGAAAGGACATCTAGAGTTTCATCAATCCCTTTTTAAAAATTGAAGGAAGTAAGGAATGAGAAAATTTAAAAAGTAAAGATATGCTGGTTTGATATCAACGAGAGAATCAAGGGTGTTTAGGGCAGTGAAAATTTGGTTGAGGGGAATAAAGACAAAGAAAATTAAAAGAAAAAAGTGCAAAATTTTATTCCAAATGGGTTTGCCCTTGGTGCTAACATGGATGATTTACCTAGATATTTTTTTATCTTCCAAATATCTTTTCTCTAAAAATCCTAATCATGATTTTAACACCAATAAGATTTCCATACAATGTAGATATTAATAATTAGTAAGAGAATCAGGGGTTTTTGGGGGAGGGAATATTTAGTCGAGGGGAAAAGAGGCAGAGGAAATTCTGAAAAAAAGAGCAAAATGTTATTCCAAATGGGTTTGCAGTTGATGCCAACAAGGATGACTTAACTAGATATTTTTGATCCTCCAAATATATCCCTTATTCCTAATCATGATTTTAACTCTAATAAGATTTTCATATAAAGTAGATATTAATGCACTCTTGACTAATGACTAATAAATCCTTACTTAAGTAATACAATCTCTTAATTTTTGTTTTCTAATTTACCCATTCCCCACCTTTTTCACTTTAAAATAAACGTGAAATAATTAATACACTTATATGCAAATAAGTAACACTCTATGGCACAAGAAACAACTAAGTAAAACTCTACGGCACATAAAACAGCTAAGTAAAACTCTAAGGACGCCTATGTAAGTAAAATGACATTGATATTGCACGAGTGAGGATTGAATCGGAAGTACTACGATCGCGATGTCTGCCGCCTCTACTTGTCCGGCCTTTGCCCTCACGAGCTCTTCCAATTAACGGTACTCTCCTCATTGATTCGTTAATCCGTTTCTCTTTTCTTTATGTTTCGATGATTAATTGTTAATGGTTGATATCCATTTTCTTTCCCTTTGAACCCTACTTTATGTTTTCGAAGTGATTGTCTGTGTTTGGTTTCTGAGAAAATTTGAGGTTTTAGAAGCAATAGAAGTTTTTGGGGATGGGGTGGGGGCAAGGTAGAAGCCTACAAGGGAAAGTGACAGATATACACCATCTGGTTTTTAGAATGTAGCCAGAGTTATGTTGTTGTAACTCCTAATTTTGGAAACCAAATGGCTAGGTTTATTTCATATATTTTTTCTTTTTAAATCTTTGCTTCTGTTATATAAACCAATAAATGACTGATGGGTGCAAGTGAGGTCATTTGTTTTTATTTGTTAAAAATGTGATTCTTTAAGGGAGAGACGAATGTGGCAAGGCATCAGATTTTTTAAGGGTGAATTACATGTGTTTAGCAAGACTAATACTAGAAACATTTTGAAAGGGGTTTATAATAATGAAATATAAAGAAGTAATAAGAGAAAAGAAGGGTATATATATGGAAAATTCTGCCAATTAGGGAGGAGTTTTTAAATTGAGGATAGTATGCAGAGTTGCAGACTTCATTGATTGGTTTGGTGGATGGGAGGTTGTAGTCTGTCTGAACCAATGGAGGGTGTAGACTTGAGTATTTGAGGTTGTAATTGTTTTGTACATAGTTGGAGACAACAGAGGGAAGGAGTAATGCGTGCATGGAAGTGATAAGTGCATTTTTAACTTGTTATTGGCAATTTTTGGTTAGTTTGGTAGCCTAGGAGGTGTGAGAATTGGAATAGGGGTTACAGATTGGGGGGTGGTGCTCCGGTTGGTTCTTTGTCTCTCCTTAAGAAGATTATTGGGGGAATTTCAGCCCTCTGTGGAGATCAGAGAGGGCAGTTTAACAGCTTCCTTCAGTCAAAGTTTTCTATTTATCATTGGTTGTTTACTTGGAAGAGAACTAAATTCAAATGGTAGGTATGCTGTTGCTGATAATTTTCATTTGATTATTTTGGTTACCTGTGAGGTGTTGGAAAGAACAAGGTGTGACAGATTTAAATTTTCTATTTATCATGGGTATGTGAGATGGAGGACAAATAAACTAGGTGTTGTTGGTTGCGCTACTAGTTTCTTTATAATTTTAATTAATTACTTTTTTCCAATTCTATTTTATTGTCAAGTGCTATGATAACATGTATTGTTTTATGAGTTGAGGAAAGTATTTTAGTGAGTCTGCAATTGTTAGGTAGATAGTGTATGCTCATGTAATACTTATAGGTAGAGTTGTTTTATATGGTGATCCTGTATATGTTCGTTCAGCTTCATCTTTAAGTCATGTTTGATTTGCAGATACTTATGGATAGTTTTTTCTGTAAGTAATTTGGACTTTAGGATTTTGGATTCCAAACTTCTTGTTTTCTTTCTGTTGTTGAGAAAACTGGATATGGATCCATTTCCAAAGGTCCACTTGTTGCAGCTGAGGAGAGAGTATCCTTATAACTCATGTTGTTATACATGATTTATGGTGCTATGCTTTATGTTATGTTTGCACCATGCGACTTCTTACATTTTTGGGACTTGGTTTTGATCATTGGATTTGTAGAGTACGTTTTGAACCTTGTGCTTTTTGTGTCAAATGAATTGTAGACACATGGTTTTATTTTTGACACTCAACACCAATGGGGTTTACATGGTTATTTGCCAATGCCTTTGATTTAATTGCCTCTAATGACGACAAATGCAATTACTTTAATGAAAAGATTGTGGCATTGTAAATGGTACAGAGGGATGTCGGATTGATCACATCCATAATGGACAAAGCATGTTTTTTAATTAACCACATGAGTGCTAAGTGGTAATGAAGTTTAGTGTTGGATCTTATTTGGCACCCTTCCCCACACCCCCCCCCCCCAAAAAAAAAAAAAAAAGAGATTAGTGTTGTTCCTTTTTAGTTGTAGGAGGTACTTTATTGTTGATTTTAAAAAATAATGCCTCTGCTAATGGTATCCACTTTTTAGTGGTTTCTATTTTTCTCCTTGTGTTTTCTTAATCCTTCTTAGATATGAAGAGGCTAAGGCAAAAGGTATCGATAACTATGACAGAGAGTTGGAAGATGCTAGTGACAGGCTCATTGTTGAGTGTGATAGGAAAATTGGTAGAGCTCTCAAGCGCCTTGATGATGAGGATGCAAAGGCTGCTATTGCTATATCAGTCACTGAAGTTACTCAGGTTTTGTATAAGTTTCTTGTTCGTTTTTTGTAATTTGATCTGGTTGACCTTTCCCCTACTTGAGACTTAATGATTTATTTTTTATGTTGATGCTACAGACACCAGAAGTACTAGAGTTTTCAAACCAGATAAAGGGGAAATTGAAGGAAGCCGACCAATATGGTATCTCTTATTTGCACTAGATTGTCTTAATTGGGCTCTGTTTCTCAATTATAGCTGAAAACTTTTTCTTTTGAGCAAGTATTTATTTATTTGTGCAAAGTCATATAAACATTAGTTGTAGGATCTTGGTAAGGCTGAACATACCTGAACTCTGTTTTTTAAGTTTGTAAAACAAAGGAGAAAAACATATTGACCATCAACATATATTAAGTTGCATATGCTAAAGCTATATAACCTTTTTTTTTTTTTTTATAACTTTATTTATCGCCTTCAAATTCTTAGAAATGAGATACAGGTAACCCTAAAGCTGTTTCTGAATCTTTTATTATGCTGATTTATATTCCTTTATACGTGTGCTTATGCCCGTTTTGGTAAAAACCAACCTTGCATGAAAATTTGTTTCCTCTTCCTTCCAAAACAATGGTCAATGGTTGATAAAGACTCTGTGCTTTTTAATCAACACTCAGTGCTTTGCATTAACAATGCCTTTAGAAGGCTTTCATTGAAACTATACAGAATGATATTAGAAAAACTGAAGCTACCAAAAATATCTCTTAATTATAAAAGATGAATTAAACTTATAAATCTTTGAACTGAAGACTTGCTCTTCATTGAAAGGCTTCTTGTTCCTTAAGTTAGCCCAAAATTAATGGTCTTTCTAATTGATATCAGTGGGAAAAAAGCTGGCAGTTGTACTAAAAAAGGTTCCTTGCAATTAGGATTTTTATTATTTGGAAATCTATTTTATTTGTTTGAAAATTGTGCTTAAACATGTTTTATTGTACCTTGTGGTACAAAGATTTCAGGGATATATGTACTTTATAGTGGTAATTGAAATGCTCTTTCTCTCTAAATGATTTTTAGGTGAGAAGTGGATGATAGATGAGGCACAAGAAGCTTTAGAAGAGGCTGAAGCACTAAAAAGGGTTTCAATTTCTGAACTTAATAGTGTTATATCTGTAGATGGATTTATATTATTAACTTTACTGCTCTTTTCCTTGATGGTTTGCATTATGACTTATTTGTGGATATTTGTTTTTCCATATCTGCTCAGCTCCTTGCCAGACAGGAGCCTGTTCTGGATTCCTCAAAATACACTGCTGCTGATGTTCGCATTGTGAGTCCTGTATTTCTTTCTTTCAGTATCATAGAAAGTAAAAGTTGACCCATTTAAGAAAAAACTAGATATGAAAACTTAGATGTAATGTGACCTTACAAGTAAAATGTGGAATTTAATTTGTGTAATTAATGCATGAACAGCCAGTCACCTTCTGTAAGAGATTTCATGCAAATAAGGACACAACCTTTTAAAACTTTTCTAATTAAGGTTATGACCTTTTTCCTTACTGGCAAAGGTCATATCCTTTAGAAACTTTGAAAGGTGATAGATAGCCTTGATTAGTAAAGGAAAAAGGTCATATCCTTAATTAGAAAAGTTTTGAAAGGTTGTGTCCTTATTTGTACAAAATCTCCTTTGATTTCAGTCAAATACTTTTTAATCCATTTATAGAGTAATATTTCAACTGCACTAACCATTTTGATCTAATGTTATTTCAGACCGATCAAAAGCTATGGGTTTGTGACATTTGTGGAGCAGTTTTGAGTGTTTATGACAGGTACCTTGTTTATCCTCTACTTCCTGGTTATAACCTTCTATCTTAGCTTTCTGAAGGCTTTGAAAAGTTAGTGTTTGGGGTTTCAAGTGCTTCAGCTTTTGACCTGACAATTATACCTCCTTGTTACCAGCAGGCTTTTGGGTCCAGTTTTACGAGGATAACTTTTGCAGGTACATAATGTGTGCCTTTTTCTGTTTTATTTGCTTGTAAATCTTGCAATTGTTAGATAATAAATATTTAGGAAACCGTACAATGCAAGCTCCTGCAACTTTTTCTATTTTCTGGATAAAAGTGTTTTGATTTTTCTTGTTCGTTTCAGTGATTGACGTTTAGCACATCATTTTGGAGGCAAACTTCATTTAGGCTATATTCAAATCCATGATAAACTAGCAGAGCTTCAGGTAAGATTATTTATATGCTATGGTGGCTTTGCTTTACAAATTACATTGGGGTAGGATGTCCCTGCTATCCAAGATTTTGGTTTTACAGATTGCCTGAACTTTTCTCCACATGCTATGTGCATTCAGCTTTTCTTTTCTTTTTCCCTTTTTTTAAATAATATTAATCAGACCTTTATTTACTTCCTTTGCCTATTGGATTCTAGTATAACTGCAAATTAAAGCCTGTGCTGGTATAAGGTTTCGCATTCTTCATTCTTCTATAAAGATTCTCAGTTAGTATCATCTGGAAGTTTTTCTGACCTTGGAGAAGAATATTATGCCCTGTTTTCTAATTTCTTTTGATTGTCTGTAGATGCTGGACTTTAAAACACAGCATTTTCTACCTTGTCTGTGCATATAAAATGCATATGAAATGTCTTGGTTCTCAAACAATTTTGATAGCTCAGTTTTGTCTGCTGAAAGTGGGATAGAAAATGTAAAATATGAAATCAAATAACATAGAAAAAGTAGAAGAAATGATTTTGTTCTGGGCATTTTAAGAATAGAGGGAAAAAAGGGCTCTTAAATTCTGACGATAAACCTGATGGATGGAAGGCCTGGTATGGTCAAGGTAAGCTGCCTATGGATTATGCTTACCATTTAATTCTGACCTAACAGTCTCGTGGTATGTTATATTTAGCTAAATTGAGGAGGCATTTATATTTTTTTAAAAAGCGTTCAGCAGCACCTCTTGTTAATTCTCATGTGTTTTATTTTTATTTTTATTTTTTTCGCTTTTTCCTTGGGTATGTAAACCATCAGATAGAGAGGGGATTTTGTGATATCTTTTTTTTCTTTGTTTTTGGTGGTGCATAGATCAAAAGAAAGAAGTAGAGATCAGGAGAGAGAATCCAGTCATGACCAAGACCATGCTAATAGTTGTGACTGAGGGAGGGATTATGATCAAAGGAGCAGAGATCGTGACAGTGGAAACGATTGAGAATATGGTAGGGATTATGAGCACCTTTGGACTTACAATTCTAGAAGTTGCCACAGGTCATGTTCAAGGTCTAAGGAATGTTCCAGGGATTATGATCATCACAGGTACTTTTTTCTCTTTGTTTATGGTTTTTTAAAGTTCATTTTCACTTGGACTTTTGTGTGAGTCTCCTGCCATTATTGGTTCTTTTTTGTAATTCTATGTGTTTGTTAACATGTCAAATTGATGCATGTTTGGATTATATGTATGCTACTTATCATATTCTTCACTCAACTACCTGTAGGTAATTTCATTATTTTCAAAAGGATCTCACTACCCTAGGTAAGTTTTATCAAAGTGGAATTGTGGAATAGAGCGTATAGGTTAGAAAAGCTTTGAATTGCTTGGTGCAATGATTTTCAAACAGGATTTTGTTAAAGGTAGGCTGTAAGAAGCCATGCTTCTCTCGACAAGTTGAACTCAAAATAATAGTTACCCCAGTTTGTATTTGGTTTCTTTTAGTTAAGTTTGTTGACTTAAACATCTTAGTGCTTGGCCTGAGAATTAGCCATTCCATGCTTGTTTAACAATGCATCATTAATTTTGTTTACTGATGATTTTTTTAGCTTGTTGAATTTGTGTTAAGTTAATATGCTATTAGTTTTCTAGTGTAAAATGTGCCAAATCTGACTTCATGATGAGGTTTTCACCATTGTTTTCAAATTTCATGCTGAACTCTAGCTAATATTTGAGTCCAAAAAGAAGCTGAGTGCAATATAAAAGCGAGGGACAATCAAATTTAATATATTCAAGGATTTGAGCATCCTGTATGGGCTAGTTTGGTTTTCATAATTCTTACCATTATTGAAAGCTAAAACGAAAAATTTGTTTAAAACTTAACACTAACAATTAAAAATATAAATATGTTTAATTACAATAAAATTATTTTTGTTTTTATTTCTCTAATAATTATAAAAATATGTTGCAAAAACTCATAACTAAAATAAATTTTTTGTTTAAAGTTGTAAAATTTATAAAAACTAATAACTACAACCATACTAATAAAGACTAAATTAACCACATATTGTCTCTATTTTTGAATGAAAACAAAATTCGAATACCATTTAAATTTTTTTGTACATAGAAATTAAAAATTAAACCCTAAACGTGTAGCTAAGAGTACAGATAACTTTACCAACATATCACATGATTGATGGTGAATACCATTTAAATGTAAATCAAGATGGACAGACATAATTGACTTACAAATCACATCTCTTTTTTGAATGAAGATGCATAACAATTCAATTGCTCTCTTTCACACAATAAACAAGCACAACAAGAAAAATAAAATGAAATGGTCTCTAGTGGTTTCCAGAATTAACCACTTGATAATCATACCACACATGAATTTTAGAAATTAAAAGATTTTTTTGAATGGCAAAGCAATGTGGGAGCTTGATAAAACAAAAATCTAGCTTATTGTGAGTGCACCATTAAAACCTACAAGAGAAAAAAAAAATCTTCATCAATACATATAGATGATTATAATTAAGAGATAAAATATATAGACTGCAACATCTATATGAATGGAAAGGTAAATGAGAGAAGTGTAGATAATTGAAGTAGAAGCCCCACTCACCTCATAATTAACTTCACCTATATTCAGCATCTTTTAACATATGATTTTATATATATATGATAGATAGAAATCTATGATATGTCCGTAAAAAAAGATTTCTAAGATAATGCCTAAGATGTTAATTATATATAAACACAAGACCATGTTCGTTCACAATGACCATGAATAATACTTAGAGAGAGAAACATCACCTAAAATCCCAGTCTTGTTCATAGCCATTAATTACCATTATCTTCTTTAGCATCATGATCACTGTTTTCTCCATTGCCCTTTTTGCAATTGCCAGCACTCTGTAACCATCAAGACAACATGTTGAAAGGCGAAAGCAAACACTGCAGTAAAAAGGTTTATAACTAAAAGTGCTTCTCTTGATTTGCATAGCAAATTAAAAGAAAAGAAGTTCATCAAATTAACATGACTTTGCACTCTAATCCATTAGTCATAGCTGGATATGTCTTGGACATCCTTTGTAAAAATGGACAGTATTTAAATAAAATGAAAAACATAATTACGGAGATACTTCAATTAATTTGAGATTGTCCTTTAACGGGATGGTAAAATAAAAAGTTAAAGAAAAAACTTGAAAAAAAAAAGAAAAGAAAAGGAGGAAGTCCTTGGAATCATCAATTAATGCATACCTTTTCCTTGAACAACTGTCGTATAGTGCTGTTAAGATTACCCTGCCAACTTCCTTCATCTTCCTTCTTGTTTTGGTAAACCAAAAAATTTAAACTTCTTTCATCTTCATCTTTATTAAAAAAATCATCTAATTTTTTCTCTATATCTTCATCCATGTCTTCATATATATCTCCTGCCAATTTCACTTTATAAAGTCTTGGTGTGCTTAGTTCTCCCTTAGAGAAAATCTGCATATTTGGACACTCTGTAACAATTACCTCTACCAAAGCTGGGAATTTAAAGTTGCAATCCCCTGAGCAGAAGCTTTCTAGTCTTGGTAAACCTTTAAGTTGCAAACACTCCAATTCGGTGAAATCAATGCCATCGTTCACAGGATCACCCAAACATACGACAATTTCTTCTATCATCTCACAATCGGCTACTTTCATTCTTCGGAGCTGCCCCAAGCTTTTCGCTGTTTTGTATCTCACTAAATTGGCAAGTCCATGACACTCAGATACCACTAGAGTCTGCAAATTGTTGAAATATACAGTGGAAGGAACTAAATTCTTCAATCTGCTACATTCCTGCACTTTTAGAGTTTCTAGGTTTCTGAGAATGTCTACTTCAAGTTGGGATTCTTCCTTCCAAAGATGTGTTAGCTCATGAAGTTTGGACAATCTTAAATTTCTTAATGGAGTGTGTCCACACACAGGTTTTTCCTCACCTGTAACTTCTTCACATTGGAATATTTCATCGAAGAAAGCATCCTCCACAAGAAGCTTTTTGAGATTGGGCAAGCAGTGGAAGAAGAAAGGCGGAAGAAAAGCCGATTGCTTAGGAAAGCCGACGAGGTGCAGAACCTTTAGTTTACCAAAATACTCCTCTGGATGATGTCCACACTGTATCTTCATGTTGTCATTCCATTTCACAACCAGGCGTTCTAGACTAGGAAATGTAGCCTGAGAAATTGACACGAGTTAAGAAGGCAATCCAAACTTTAAATAAATCTATTATTCTTTGATAAATTTGTCATCTCTAAGTTATACAAGAAATCTTGATTTTGGAAAAAAAAATAATTTTTACGCTTATTTCTAACCATAAAAATTGATTTCCACATTTTTTTGTCATTGAAAAATCACTTCATCTCACATAAACTCATCTATTTTTTCTTTCCTAATTATTGTTTTGTTTTTGCAATTCTTCCATTTTTCTATTACTCCAATTAGGTGATTGCTATGTAAAAAATCTTTAATTATATAATCATATAGGTTAACTTTCAGAATATTCTTGTAACAAATTTTTTTAATTTGAAAACTATTATTCACTTAAATTAGATGAAAGATCTGAGTATTAAAATGAAAAAAAATTGATTTTTTTTTTTTTGAAAATAGCTTTTTACTCATGACGGCCATAAATTAAATTACATGGAGCTTACTCCCAATATAGGATTAGGATAACAAAATTTTTGCTAGTATCAGAAAAAATGAGGGCAAAATATTTTTAAATTAGGGTGATCAATCTCTACACTTAGGAATTCAAAATAAGGTTGAGATATTTTTTTACAAATTCTGATAATTTTGTTTCTTTATCTTCAAAATAAAATAAAATTAACACACAGGGAAAACAAATGGAAAATTTTCTTTATTCTGTCTTCATATATTTACTGTTCCTATTTTCTTTCATCCATTTATTTTAAGAACAAAAATGAAGAGCATGTATTTGTATAAGATATGTCCACTTTTTTCCTTTTGGACTTGATTGTACTTACCTTGCTAATCCAAAGCATGAGATGTTGAGATTCCCTTTCAAGTTGGCTGTCTCTATGTGTCATCTCAGTTCTTGAAAATTTTGAAGCAACTATTTGTGCTCCATGACAGTCGATCACAACTAAACTTTCCAATGATGGCCATTTTGTGATGTGCGTTTGAGGGAAGAAACTCTTGAATTTTGGTAAGAGTCTAAGTATCAGGTTTGTCACTTGAGAGAATACAAGCTCGGTGGCCTCTGTTTCCACCAAAGTCGATTGCGTGGCTAGCAGTTTTTGTGATCTGGTATCAAAATTGACTCTTTCAGAGTCAGAAAATTTTCCTAGAGAATCACAATTGGAGCAAAATGTTGCAAGTTGGGGTAGGTCATTAAGTGTCAAGGTCTTTAGTTTAGGGAACACCGTCTGGCAAATCTTTTCTTCTTCCACTGCCCCTTCTGTTAATATTACCACTTCCATTATCTCACATCCACTAATCCCGAGTTCTTTAAGCTGCGCAAAACTTTTAAGCATTGAGAATGTAAACAGATACTTCAAATTGGAACAGTTGACCACCTTCAACTTTTTTAAATTTTGAGCAAATGAAGATATTGATGAAAGATGACTGTTCCAAATTTGCTTTGTATTGATTGAGGATAGAGTCAACTTCTTCAAGTTAGGAAGCTCAACCTACAAAGAAGTTTTAATTTCAGTAAAACTTTTATTCTTGAATCAAAGAAAAGTGTAAAAATGACATGAGAGCACAATCTTGAATTTCATACCATATAAATTTTGATATAGAAAAATTTAGTTTATGAGGAATAACAGTACACATGTTCTTATTCTCGTTAAGACTTTGACCTTTGTGCATCAAATACATTTATGTCCATAATTATTGAAGTGATGTAGAAGAGTGGAAATTATACTCTATGAAAGAAGTGTAGTGAAGTCTTGCCCTTGTCCAATTTGTGAAAAAATATTAAAACAATAAAAAATAAAAAATAAAACTCACCTCATCACAAAAGAAAACCTCAATGAAGATATTAGGTTCTTTCTTGACAAGCAATTCCTCACGTCTTCCATCAGTTGTCTCTTTCTCTTGCTCACTTGAAAATTTAAAACTGAATCTAACCATCTTTAGACAATCCTTTACAATAATTTTCTCTAGCATTGGAAACTTGAGGGTCTTACTTCCCACATAGAAACTTGACAACTTGGAGCAAGACTCTAATGAAATGGACTTTAGTTGTGGGAAAAATATTGAGTCAAATTCAACTACCTCTCCAACTCTTGTAGCCATGATCACTTGTTCTATTGCTGCACAGTCTTTTATCTTCAAGTTCTTGAGTTGCCCAAGGCGCAATACCATGGAGGGGGTTAGAAGGTAGCTCAAGCTGCTACAATTGTTAACTTCTAGAGATTGAAGGTTTTTGAAAGGTAATATTGATTCTTCCAAATTCCTTTTCCAAAGTTGAATTACCTCAGAACACTCGGAAAGTGTCAAACTTTTATACTCAAAGTATCCAACCTATAAAAGCCAATAGATTAATTATCTTGGTATAACATAGAACCAAATAACAATAACAATGATATTAATCAAAGAAAGAAAATACATTAATAACTCTATCCAGTTAATCACAAAAATCAAATTGTAGAAATATACAAAAATATTCCTTTTAAGTTTTTGAAATTACAGTTCTTCCCTCTCCGTCACTACACTAATGTCTATATGATTATTAAATTAAGGATTATAAAAAATGAATGATCAACCCTTGGTTCTTTTAATGTACATTAGATTTAGAAACTAAGTGAAAGTGAAGCCGCCATCAACTGACCTTGTAAGCTCTTCTTCTAATCCCCTTACTGAAAGTGCTCCTATTCCTTGCCTTTGAGAAAGTTCAAACAAGAGAGAATGGCTAGCCTCTTAACCATCCAAAAGGAAGAAAGTAGACCTATGCAATTCTTTACCTTTCACTCTAAACTATCCCATACGATCCCAACAACAAACTTATTTAAAAATGTTTTCTGAAATTATATTATATTAACATGTTCTTCTATTTCACTAGATCTAGTAACATTAAGTAATGAAGACTTAATATATAATGATCAAAAAACACAAGGAAATCATTTCAATTAATGTGGGTACCTTTTGAGTGAATAAGTCCTGTATTGTGCTGTCAAGATCGCCTGCCCAGTGTCTTTTCTCTTCATCATCTGTCCATTGAACATTTTGTTTTCTTTTATCAGCACTCCATTGAACATTTCGTAATTCTTTTGTTATTGTCTTTCCCATGGAAAAATATTTCATCTGTGGACATCCTATCACAATCGCTTCTTTCAAAGATGGGAACTCAAAGTCACACCTCCTTGTGCAAAAGCTTGAAAGCTTGGGAAGACCGCGAAGTTGCAAAGACTTGAGTTGGCTAAAGACAATGCCATCCTTCACATTATCTTCCAAGCATTTGACAATTTCTTCCACCAAGTCACAATCAGTTATGCTCATTCTTTCCAGCTGTTCCAAGCTTTTGGCAGTTGAGTAACTCACTAAATTTTCAAGTCCATGACATTTTGATATTTCTAGAGTCTGCAGGTTCACAAAAGATACAACTGATGGCACTAAATTCACCAATTTGATACACTCAAGCACCTCTAGACTTCTCAAGTTGTAGAAAATCAATTTGAGGTCAGATTCTTCCTTCCAAAGATGCATTAACCCATTAAGTTTCGATAATTTTAATTCTCTTAACCGAGGGGGCGCATCTGTAGTTCTTCCCTCACTACGAAGTCTTACACATTGGAATATTTCATGAAAGGAAGCTTCACTCACATTCAGCTTCTCAAGACTGGGTAGTGTCTGGAAGAAGAAATTAGAAGACCGAAGAAGAGCTGAGCATTTGAGGAGTTTAAAATCTTTTAGTTTGGGAAAATAGGCCCCTGGATATTGACCACGCCATATCTCCTTCATGTTGTAATTATGTTGGAAGTTTAGTTCTTCTAGACAGGAGAATGAATCCTGACAAATTGAAAAATACAATGTTTTATAAATTGAATAAAAAAAACACAAAATAGGAAAAGGGTATTGTATACAATACAAATCCTTTGTATAACGTGTTTTGCGATTAAGCTGCATAACCCAAAAGCATGCCATTTTTCCTATGTCAGAGATTTTTGAAATCTCATGAGTGTGTGTTTTTGGACCATTGTGCAATTGGGGGTATGTTATGACTACCTCTGGCATGTGATTAAACATGTTATTTAAAGTGGCACGGTGATATGTCATATTGATATGAGATACTTTCATGTCTAAAAATGTTTCACACCTATCTATATTCTATTTATATTATGTCTTGACTATATTGAGACCTATTTATATGTGAGTTAACTAACCTATGCTTACTAACAAGCTGCATTTGCGCTATTTTTTGAAGCATCTGCCAAATTGATTAGCCTGAGCTCTAAACAAGTAAAAAAAAATGATTTCTATACTTCAAGAAAAGGTAGTTATATATCACTTGTCAAAACTTAAACCCAAGCCAACATTTACCTA